CCTTCTACCTACCTACTCATACATATATGATGAGTACAGTAACTAGTCTGAGGATGTATTCTTAAGCTGTTGGGGATGGTGCGGGTGGATCTTTTGCGGTTGATGACTTTGCCCTGACCATCTAGTGATCCAATGATTTCGAGAAGTAGTCGTTAATAGAAAAGTCTTCTTGCTTTTTCGGTCTACCCCTAACCAAGTTGAGTTACAGCACGTCTTCGTAATATTTAGTTTCACTGACAGTTTAACTTAAGAGATAGCCGATCGAATCTGCTTGAGCTGTACGGGCATAGATTAGAACCCATGTACGCCCATTATGCATATGGACACTGAATCAATGAAATCAGCACAAATTTCACTTCAAATCATCTTCTCATTGACGTTGATACGGTCATCAATCAGTAGTACGGTGGTCCGAACCTGTTCCCATGGGAAGCGATAACAGATCATTGACATGGAATAGTCCGCCTCCCACTTTGTAGTGACGGGAGATTGACCGCTCGTTCATTTCGAGGAAATGTGGTCGAATTCCGAACCTAGTCATGCCAAGCAGTGATTAGGGTCGTGTGAGCGGAATTTCTCTATCATCATTGTTTGATCGTTGTAGTTCATCTTTATTTCCGTCTTACAAAAGTTGGCGATGTCATGTATGCTGACGTCGTAGCCAAACCTAGCTCCCTTCATGTTCAGGTTCAGCCATAGCTTTTACGTCTTTTTCGTAGTTTCTCGAATTTTTTCTACAGTATCACTTCTGTATTGGATAAGGCTTTGCCGTTACAATCCTTCCTCTCCGTTAGAGGAAAAGCTGAAGCACCAAAAGTACATCGGTTCTTTTAAAGCGCTGTGTCGACTGTCAACCGAGCACAGGTGTGGCTGCATTACGGACCATGACATTCAGTATGTTCTGGAAGAACTTTATCGAGTAGCAAAGAATTTTTAACAGGCAGGAATTGGAGCAATTAGCTGCTAAGACTTCAAAGGCAGATACTTGCCCAATCCGCTTCAGAATCAGGGACTCAGTCTTAATTCTTTTCTATGATGTAACCGAACTGGATAATTCCTTGCTAGCGGTTAAGCAAAAAAGAATTTTCTGTGCCTTCAGAGTTCGACATCGATTCTACTGAATCTTCCAACTGCCAGATTCATTTTAGAAAGTGTTACCCTTCCACGTTCCATGCTTGGAAAGCGCTTTTCTAGGTTCGGTTTGAGATCATCGTATAATCAAAACGATGAAATATTGCCGAAGTCATCGAAGATAGACCGAATGACCTTAGCAATAACACACATCAGGCGGCACCTTCTTCCAGCTTACAGCCTAGTGGTTTCTTCGCCTAACGTCCAGGAACGAAGCGATCAGTAGGTCAGTAGCTTCAGCCATATCCTACATCCTTATTCCAATTACGATTACAGAATGCTTGAACTTGATGAATTGGTAGCCATTTCTTGACGTGGTGTCCTCGAGCTGCTCGCATGGATAAAGAGGGGTTACCTTAATTTAAGCTCGGACGAGAGCAGTTCACAAGTAGGGATTCTTCGCTTATCAATGCAACCTCAGAAGGACACCACTGCCAAGAGGGGACCTACTCTATCACCTATAACACAGCAGGCTTTCGTTGATATCAAATGTTCGGTGAAGCAGTGAAGCTCGACCGTGTACAAAGCATCTCGGATGTAAATACCCTCTGGTGATTCCTTAAGATTTGTAGAATTGAAAAAATGAAGAATTCTGCTTCATGAATTAAGCTGGATATAAGTAGCCATAACAAAGTTACTCAGATATGTAGATGATCAAGTAATCACAAAAGAAGTTCCTTCACAAACTTCATTTCGAATTAAGAGCTTTAGTAAAACTTGCCGAGATTGAAGGTAGCAGTTATGGTTCACCAGTCAGGGGCCAGCTGACCAGAGAACAGTTTCTTATCATTTCATAGCCAATGGATAGGTGTCGTCTCAACTTAGTCATAGTTGTGAAGTTATATATAATGTAGTGAAATTGTAACTACCGTTTACTAGTGATAAATGAGAACAGGAATCAGTGTCGGCCCAGTTGTAAATCAGTCACTGACAGGAAAATCGTCCGTATCATTCACCGTCTTCCCGATGACGCACCATTAAGAAAACAACATTATTGTAACAGAGAACGCTGAAAGAATTCGCAATTTCTTTCAAATGAGCTGATGAGGTGATATCAACCATTACAAAAAGATAGAGAACACATCCCAGAGATTGATTTCACTACATATTTTGAACTTGGGAAGTTTAGTCAACAGAGAGGTGAGTTCGAGGTTTCGGTCTATGAGATTACTCCCTTCAATCTCTGTATTCTATAGGTGATTCCTTTATTTGGATGCCGATTTGTAGGCGTCTAAAGAGGGTGTCCAAAGACGAGATAAGTGATCAGAATCAGCCCTTACTATGTACTCGAAACCGCTCCAAGAAGTCAACCTGCTAAATGTACCTCTTTGAAACTCCCTGTAATAATATACATTATAATGTACAATTCAGTGCAGCACCTATTACGTCAGTCAAAAATGGCCTATTTGAAAGTAGTGCTAACCACGACGGCCTTATTAACTGAATTTTCTATCAAGGCTTGAAAAAGTAGCGCCTATAACTATACCTTGCCCTTTTCCAGAAGAAAGTCATAGTTAAAGAGGAAAGATGAAGTAGCGCTTGTAGTATGACAAATGGAACACAGTCGAAGTTCCTCTCTCATTCACTCACTTAGTCGGATGAATACTCACAAAGACAATTTCGGCATTGAATCACAAAAATCGACGTTTTTCTGCATATCCTGCTGTATTTCAAGAGAAGGAAAGGGAATTTCATTAGCTGAAGTAGGTTTCCAGTCAGGCTGTATCCATAATTTATGCGCACCGAAAATCGAGGAAGCGCATGAAATCACTAATCAATTCTCCATGTGACCTTGAAGCTGTTTTGAGGTTTCCTTAATAGTTACATAACGTGACCACAACTCCAATAACATTGCTTTTTATAAAGAACTTTGCGGGTTATTCGGGCTTCGCCTATGTTCAAATGAATCAATTCTTTACCCACCAACCGCCGAGGTACATCAGTGAGTTGAGGATAAAGAGGAACCAGCAATATGAATGTCTTGAACAGTACTGCATGTCATCTGTCTCGATTTCTGCTCTACTACAGACTCGCTGGGCATCTCAGCATCTTCTATATCGCTCATTTTTGTGAAAATGAATGCCAGCAAATAAATTGGATCCAATGAAGACATACATACGCTATTGCGCATATCAAAGCCCTTTTTTTCAAGTTTCACCCTAGATCATACGATCCTTTCCCCTCTGAGTTAATTGATGACTTTGTTAGTTCAGCCATTTCCGATTCCTCTTCTGCTCACTTGTTCAGCAAATGAAATTAAGAACAAGCACGCGTGGACATTTGATGAATTCTCAGACGACACTTGCATGACCCTGATATATGCAAAGGTGGTTGTTGCCGGCGTGCTCAGACCCGAGTTTCCTAAAGCGAGAAGGAGTCCTAGAGCAAATGGCAGAAAAGCTTCCAGTTTGTAACACCTAGCACATTTCCCTTTTTGCTCTAAATCGCTCCCATAGCGTACTTTTTCTTTTGAATCAAATTGCTGTTCGATCATACGCAACATTGTGCCTCGATCGCAAACCGTTACATTATTCGCTCGCATTTCGTAGATCCAGAAGTGACACATCTCGAGCCTGAATCCTTCACCCTTACGGTGTTTCAGATTGACAGAATGGAGGAGAATGCACCGATGGCAACCTCCCACGGCAGTTTACCAAGAGCAAAGTGGGTGCAATAGTTTCTGAAATCTCGACTGAGTAGTTCCTAAAGCTTTGAAATTTCAGCTCACGAAATGATCGCTCACGCCTTTTGCGTGGAGAACGACCACAGCGACTTCGGCTACCGACGACTTCTTACATTGCCGAACCGTCACCGTGCACTCCTTGTTCAGTGTTCTCGTTCGATCTTCCTAATAGTCCTTGCATTGTTAAGGGACGTCCCAGGTGAGTGATTCTCATATCTGAAACTTCCCAGATGGGCTTCTGGCGTTCTGGTTTTTTTCTTTCCTAGCTTTGCTGCCGTCGAAACCTTCCATTACAATAAACACTCTGAGCCATCCCAGTTGCTCAGAACTTTTTTGTAGGCATGCACGATCGACCAGCCATGGTTCCGCGATGACGCCACGAAGTATGTTCTCGTTTGATATGGCTTTCGACTTCATCATGCCAAGAACTCCACGAACTCCACGGACTCCGATTTCGCCGAAGACACCGAAAACTCCACGCTTTCCAGAGTTACCTACCATTGAAGAAGCCAGGACATCTTTCAGGTTTATTTTCACCATTTGTATTCAAGCTCCACAAGGCTCTTTGCGCCATACGACCAAGGCCTCATGTAGAATAAAAAATTCAACTATAAGATCTACTATAACAAGCTTACAACGAAACTGATCTTAACCTGCCTCTTGATAAGACTGTGGTACTAATTGCTTCTTCGATTTGAGATTTGTGAGCTTTGAGGTAGCCAGGTTCACCTCATTATCCAATGAAACATGGGCGAAGGTGGTGTCGTGGAGGTTGACGCACTATAACACATGCATGGTCGCGAGTTCGAGTCCCGGATCGATATCCGCCTAAGCCAAAGGTTCCATCCCTCCGGGTTTGGTCAACTGGTGCCAGACTAGACTGGAAGGATAAAATTCCTGACTTGTACATCGATTGGCCACCGAATTTCATTGTGAAGACCACATACGCATCCGGCCAATGTGCTGATTATTTCCCAAGGTCTTTATCCTTCATCCTTAGGGGGATAGAATATATATTCAAGAAATAGGTCCCGTCAAAATTCTGTGACTGAGAGCTTTCAGTTTCGAAATCCCGAAACCAAAAGATGAAAAGTCGTCCAGAACAGAGTCAGGTGATACCACAATCGGCACAGTGACATCGAGATGCACCGATTGGAAATCAATACGGCTTATGATGATCGTGATCCTACTTACTCGAATTCAATTCACAGTATATTTCGCGTCATTGTGGCCATTCTTGCAAGAGGTGAGCAATTTGATGACTAGTATCGATTGTGGGAATCGATCGTTTCCAAAATAAATTTCAGGTCGATGATAGCGCCACCATGCAAGACTATGCGGTGATCAGTGCTGTATATAGCATAGGAATTGCTGGTTCGGCTCCATTTTTCGGTTACTGGTCGAATAAGGTAAGGCATGCGGAACTGTTGGTGTTTATAAACAGTATACGTAAACAGTAGCAGGAAATCAAACGTGTTGAACTTCACCGAAAGAAAGATTAGTATTAACAAGCAAAATCATAGAAATTCTGGGAACTACAAAACCATATGCGCTCAGGCGTAGACACCATCTCAAGTAAAATGGATAGGTAGCCCTTCCCATCAACGCACTGTTTGTGATTAGAGAACCGGAATAGCAAAATACTGAAACCATTAACCCTAAAACTTCTGGGATCGATACAGTTGGATTGAATGAATGTAGTGGATTCCATGACTCCACAATTCCTCAAGGTCTTGCACAAACTTTAGACCCGCTCACACCTCATCATAGGTGAGAAAGAGAGAGCCAATCAAGAATAAAACAACTTTATTTACATACGCCGACTATGACAAAAGCACCAACTATTTGATTTTTTTTCACCGTACTAATTACAGTAAGCCTAGCTGATTGAGCCCATTCCTCTCTACTACAGATCAGTGATGAACCTATTATAGAACACCCTGACAATTGATAACTATCAATTTTTTCAGCTCGGCTGCATAAGGATTCCTTCGATGTGCTCAATGATTCTGATGCTCATATCCAATGCTATGTATATAGTTATGCACAATTTCAACGGTTACGGTAAATATGCAATGGGCGTGGCCAGGTTCCTAGCTGGTGTGGCTGCAGGTAAGTATGTTCGATGCTGATCCACAATAATCTGAATAGTTGGTGTTATTATGATTCCAATAATTACCAAACTGGATGTCAGCGATTTCTAGGAGGCAACTCACTTCTGCCCACTTATTGGACTTATGCAGCCGCTCCTGAAGACCGTTCTACCGCTGCGGCCCTGTTTGATGGCGCATTTTGTTTAGGAATTGCTTTAGGACCAGGTGAGAATCAATTTTTCGGGGTCGTTGCACGAAATCTTTAGACGGACCATTTGGGGAATTGTTTCACATAGACAAAAATTGGTTTCCTTTTCATCGCTTGTGTTTCCATGCTCCTTCTTCTAGGCTTCCAACTAATCTTCTCGCCACTCAGCTATCCGGGTACTATGATCGGACG